TATCGGATAGCCCGAGCTCAGATCGGCAAGCCTCTGCGCTGATCCGCCAGCCCGAGCTCTGATGCGTCCGGTGGAGCTCTGAACTTCGATGCTTCGTCATGTCGAGATCTGATCGGGAATCGGGTAGCCCGAGCTCGGATCGGCAAGCCTCTGCTCTGATCCGCAAGCCCGAGTTCTCATGCGTTCGTTGGAGCTCTGATGCGTCCGGTGGAGCTCTGAACTTTGATGCTTCCACATGTCGAGATCTGATCGGGCATCGGATAGCCCGAGCTCGGATCGGCAAGCCTCTGCTCTGATCCGCCAGCCCGAGTTCTCATGCGTCCGGTCGGGCTCTGATGCGTCCGGTGGAGCTCTGAACTTCGATGCTTTGACATGTCGAGATCTGATCGGGCATCGGATAGCCCGAGCTCGGATCGGCAAGCCTCTGCGCTGATCCGCCAGCCCGAGTTCTCATGCGTTCGTTGGAGCTCTGAACTTCGATGCTTCGACATGTCGAGATCTGATCGGGCATCGGATAGCCCGAGCTCGGATCGGCGAGCCTCTGCTCTGATCCGCAAGCCCGAGTTCTCATGCGTTCGTTGGAGCTCTGAACTTCGATGCTTCGACATGTCGAGATCTGATCGGGCATCGGATAGCCCGAGCTCGGATCGGCAAGCCTCTGCTCTGATCCGCAAGCCCGAGTTCTCATGCGTTGGTTGGAGCTCTGATGCGTCCGATGGAGCTCTGAACTTCGATGCTTCGACATGTCGAGATCTGACCGGGCATCGGATAGCCCGAGCTCGGATCGGCAAGTCTCTGCGCTGATCCGCCAGCCCGAGCTCTGATGCGTCCGGTGGAGCTCTGAACTTCGATGCTTCGTCATGTCGAGATCTGATCGGGAATCGGGTAGCCCGAGCTCGGATCGGCAAGCCTCTGCTCTGATCCGCAAGCCCGAGTTCTCATGCGTTCGTTGGAGCTCTGATGCGTCCGGTGGAGCTCTGAACTTTGATGCTTCCACATGTCGAGATCTGATCGGGCATCGGATAGCCCGAGCTCGGATCGGCAAGCCTCTGCTCTGATCCGCCAGCCCGAGTTCTCATGCGTCCGGTCGGGCTCTGATGCGTCCGGTGGAGCTCTGAACTTCGATGCTTTGACATGTCGAGATCTGATCGGGCATCGGATAGCCCGAGCTCGGATCGGCAAGCCTCTGCGCTGATCCGCCAGCCCGAGTTCTCATGCGTTCGTTGGAGCTCTGAACTTCGATGCTTCGACATGTCGAGATCTGATCGGGCATCGGATAGCCCGAGCTCGGATCGGCGAGCCTCTGCTCTGATCCGCAAGCCCGAGTTCTCATGCGTTCGTTGGAGCTCTGAACTTCGATGCTTCGACATGTCGAGATCTGACCGGGTATCGGATAGCCCGAGCTCAGATCGGCAAGCCTCTGCGCTGATCCGCCAGCCCGAGCTCTGATGCGTCCGGTGGAGCTCTGAACTTCGATGCTTCGTCATGTCGAGATCTGATCGGGAATCGGGTAGCCCGAGCTCGGATCGGCAAGCCTCTGCTCTGATCCGCAAGCCCGAGTTCTCATGCGTTCGTTGGAGCTCTGATGCGTCCGGTGGAGCTCTGAACTTTGATGCTTCCACATGTCGAGATCTGATCGGGCATCGGATAGCCCGAGCTCGGATCGGCAAGCCTCTGCTCTGATCCGCCAGCCCGAGTTCTCATGCGTCCGGTCGGGCTCTGATGCGTCCGGTGGAGCTCTGAACTTCGATGCTTTGACATGTCGAGATCTGATCGGGCATCGGATAGCCCGAGCTCGGATCGGCAAGCCTCTGCGCTGATCCGCCAGCCCGAGTTCTCATGCGTTCGTTGGAGCTCTGAACTTCGATGCTTCGACATGTCGAGATCTGATCGGGCATCGGATAGCCCGAGCTCGGATCGGCGAGCCTCTGCTCTGATCCGCAAGCCCGAGTTCTCATGCGTTCGTTGGAGCTCTGAACTTCGATGCTTCGACATGTCGAGATCTGATCGGGCATCGGATAGCCCGAGCTCAGATCGGCAAGCCTCTGCGCTGATCCGCCAGCCCGAGTTCTCATGCGTTGGTTGGAGCTCTGATGCGTCCGGTGGAGCTCTGAACTTCGATGCTTCGTCATGTCGAGATCTGATCGGGCATCGGATAGCCCGAGCTCGGATCGGCAAGCCTCTGCTCTGATCCGCAAGCCCGAGTTCTCATGCGTTCGTTGGAGCTCTGATGCGTCCGCTGGAGCTCTGAACTTTGATGCTTCCACATGTCGAGATCTGATCGGGCATCGGATAGCCCGAGCTCGGATCGGCGAGCCTCTGCTCTGATCCGCCAGCCCGAGTTCTCATGCGTTCGTTGGAGCTCTGATGCGTCCGGTGGAGCTCTGAACTTCGATGCTTCGACATGTCGAGATCTGATCGGTTTTCGATGCTTTGACATGTTGAGATCTGATCGGACATCGGGTAGCCCGAGCTCTGTTCCACCAGCCCCTGGTCTCATCTGCGAGCCCGAGTTCTGATGCGTCCGGACGGGCTCTGAACTTCGATGCTTTGAAATGTTGAGATCTTATCGGGCATCAGGCAGCCCGAGCTCTGATCCACCAGGGCGGGTTCTGATCTGATCTGCGCTGCTCTGCTCTGACCTGTCCACCTCTGATCAGTCAGCGCCTTGCCAGCCTGACCTCTGATGTGCCAGGCTCTCTTTTACGCAGCGGACGAGCTGACCAAGCAGATTCACAAAGGAGGAAGCGAACCCACCGGTCGTCGCCATCGCCGCAGGGTTCATTAGTTTATGATAGCATCAAATCCGTGCTTCCACGCATTTGAGCACTCCCACTGCTTTAGCACACACTCAGCGTCGGTCGGTATGGGTCTTCCTATTGGTACCTCCCATAGCCTGCTACGATCTCACACATTGACACCTACACTTGGACCCCCTGGGCCTGATCCCCCTCATGGGAGTCACATGAGTAAACACCGCGTGTGTCGCGGTCCCCACGAGGCCTGGGCAGCTGCCCTGGGGCGACAAGCTTGTGACTACCGTTGTTTCTCTTCGTTGTGACACCTGCGGTTGGGCACAGGTTGCACTTTCCTATCCTCGGGATTGAGTGACTCTACAGTTATTTTAACGGTGCACCTGGTCTGGTCACAGTGAATGCTTGCCGACCGCAGCTGGTTCAATTGACCTCAAAACACCATCAAAGCTTTCGTTCCGTCCCAACGGACGTCTCTCAAACCTCTGTCAAAACGCTTCCTCAAACCTACGCGCTTCCTCGCAACCCAAAACCGGCCTCCAGACGTGCACGTCTGGAGCCTGACAGTTTATGAATTAATTAATTTTTATTATTGTTGTTTATTCCGTCGTTGTCCAGTTAACTATAAATGCAAGATACTATGTGACAGATTAATCCGACCTAACCCCCCTCTCTTTGACACGAGGCCTGCCTCGACCAGTTGTATTTTATCAGTTTGACGAGAGCGGGCGTGTTATGTTGGGTCTCTTCAAGCAAGTTATGTTATGATTTGATGAAGTGGCCATCCAGTTTGTGTGCCTCAGCGCTTCAACGCCACATGCAAGCAAAGTCCGAGTAGGCTTCCCTACGAGTGAGTGCTAATTATGCGACGTCGATTATTTTCATCAAACAAGATGTGAGTGCTGGCAGGTGTTGATGTTCACACTGGCCTGCTCATGGACGCAATCGTTATGTCGACTGACATCAAAGACTTATTCGACGGAAAGTGAAGCCATGGTCTGATTGTAAAAGCAGAGACCCGAGTGTTGCAGGGGTAAGAAAAGGAAAGCAAGTGAGGGAGCTTCACAAAAAGAAAATTGTCCCCTCATTGATGCTGAGTCGCAAAAGCGAAGGAGACGAGAACGTACATCATGAGCTCGCTCAAGCTCCTTGATCAGGCCACTAAGTTCTTGAAGCTCCAGTTCGACGCGCACATCAGTGACGGTGCCATCCGAGTTTTCGGTCTAATTCCAACAAAGGCGCCACGACCTTGTTAGGTATAAAAAGGCAGTTGCCGGCCCATTCTTGAGGGTTGTACCTGAAGCGTGAGGTGTGTCAAAGGCTCATTCAACTCGGCCAGGGTGTTTGAGGCCAGCGCAACCTAGGGAGGGTAATTTAGAGGTCAAGTGGGGTGCGTGGGAAGAGGGCTACGAGCTAGTCTCTTCGAGCAAGAGGCTGGGTTCATGGTGGCAATAGTAGGCTACCTTGGCTTGCCAATCAAAATCAATCAATCGGTTTTGATCATTGAGAATCATTTGCTTAAGGGCTACAGTTGCAAAAATGGAGCACAAGCAGACCATGAGGCATTTCCTGGGCTTAAGTGCTTGGCTGCCAATCTTTATTTTTTGGCATTCCAAGAGAGGGGCGAAAGACAACCTCGGCGCAAGCTGTTTTGGCGTGCTTTCAGTGCCGCTTCAATTGCAGCCAGCTGCTCTGAGTCGAAGCCTTCAAAAGCCTGAGTTTCATACAGGCATGCGCAAGGGAAATTGGAGGAATGAGCCCTGCACCGCAGCAAAGACGTAACCACGTACACTGGCGCAGAATCAAGCACAGCTGGCCTGCAAACTGACCGGTAGCAGCACCACATCCGTGGAGCTGGCAGAGAGCGCTTGGCGGATGGCTGATTTCAGCCATGAGTTGGCTCTGTTCCACTGTGCAATCGTCCAGGACTGCAAAGACATGAAGGCGGAGCACCAGCGCCAATGAATGACCGTGAACAAGCCCATACACGGCAGCAAAGCCGAGACTGGGAGCTAAATAAAAAAAAGACTGTTGCTGATTCTGGCCCGTGCACGCGCACACTCACATGATCAATGGAGCCCCAAGTAGGTTCGCGCATATCAATAATACTGTTGCAGGCATCGTGTACCAGCTGCCCAAGTGCCTTGGCACTGAGCTCACGCAGTGTTGCTGCAGCCATTTATGTTGTACCACCACAGGCCAAAGAATGACGACCTAAAGCGCTGTTTGCGGCACCGCCAGACGCTACCCCTCGGCTCATCAAAAGCAGACGTTTTCCTGTTTGGAGAAAGACAGAAAGAGGAAAAAAGAGCGAATTACATTTGGTTTGGGTCGAAGAAACACAAAAGAAGAACCTCACACAAGGGTTAGTGTGTATTCGCGTTCGGGTTGATGATGTTCGCGCCGTTCAGCTGGCGGTGGCCAAAGGACTTTATGGGCAGTTGTGAGTGCTAGAGATAGCGAGAATGGCTTAGAGAAGGATTTCACTTGATGAATTAGTTTTCCATGCAATGTGGTTTAACATTGACAAAGCCTTTGCATGAAAAGCACATGCAAAGTTCTGTGCAGAGAGTTCCGTTTTGTTTGTGAAGCTTGTTGATGGCGGGTAGGCGGTGAATCTATTCGGCTGGCAAGACTGGGGCCCATAGGCATCCTCGGATCTAATATGGCCGGTCTGAAAAGAGCAAAGTCAAGTCAGAATGATAAATATTCACTTTTGACAAGTTCGGACGGTTATTGACACTAAAAGGCCTACGTACTGCCATTGTGGGGTGGAGGTGGTCCACCAAAACCACCGGGAGGCCCGGTCGGGGGTCCACCGGGAGGTCCTGACGGGGGACGAAATCCGCCTGGGGGTCCATCGCGAAAGCCGCCTGGGGGCCCATCGCGAAAGCCACCGGGAGGACCATCGCGAAAGCCGCCTGGGGGCCCATCGCGAAAGCCGCCTGGAGGACCATTGCGAAAACCGGGCGGAGGACCGCGGCGATCAAAGTCGCCTTCGGGAGGGCCGAAATGGCCCGGTGGACCGCGCATATGCGGGGGAGGCATACCCATTCGAGGACCACCAGGGCCACCAGGGCCGCCAGGACCGCCAGGACCGCCAGGACCACCAGGATAGCCGCCCATTGGTCTCCGACCCATAGGAGGCGGGCCTAAAACATGATAGGAGATGAAGAAAGCGACACCCAGCCACACACACACACACACACACACACAAAAAAAAAAAAAAAAAAAAAAAAAAAAAGGATAGGATGGTGGGATGAGGTATGCAATCTGCATGAACTGCTGGTGGCATAAGCTGGCAGAGAGAGCAAACATCAGCAGTGGCAGTGGCAGGCCCGCACCTCGTCTGCCAAAACCCCCAGGGCCGCCGGGTGAGGGACCTCGAAAGTTGCCCCGAGATGGTGGACCCATGCCTGCAAAGGAATTGAAATCGGTGTGAGGTAAAGCAGACTCAAGAACAGCAATCAAGCTTTCAGACACTGAAGCAGAATAAAAAATATCCGTTGACATTCCCGGTCGCGGGCAGCGGCATACCAAAGGGGCCCACGGGGCCTATGCGCGCCGAAGTGATAACATGGGTGGAGGGTGGCGGAGCACACGGCCAAAGGTCAACAGAATGAGACTTGCTAACCGCCAATCAGAACTTGGCACGCGACTTTGCGCCGTGCCAGTCGAGCGCAGCCCTATTTCAAATGGTTCTCAATCTTAATCCTTAAAACAGTACCTGGTCGCAAGCCTAGCGTTTCCTCAGCCCATTTGGCATAAAAGTCGCGCACAGCCTCTTTGTGCTTGCGACCACCATTGTGTGTCTTGCGGACAGAGGGCTACAAAGCCGCCAAAGGTGACGTGAATGGAACGGTGAACAGGCAACCAGACTCGGTCTAGTTACTAGCAGCGAGGACGGCACACGTACTGAATCGTGTGTGAGATAGGCATCACAGTAATCACAATAGTAGCGGGGCATGATGTCGATCAAGTTGATGTCAAAGTGGAGCGCGTGGCGGGCAGGTGACACGCGTGCGAAGGATTGGGCAAAGCGAAGCTTGTCCCTGCTTTCTCTCGCGGCTGCCTCGATGACGAGATGGCTCAAGGCCACCCTGCAAACCCAGTTGCAGCGCCGCGCGTTGGCGGCAAACGACGGCTGCAAGCAGCAAGTCAGGAACAGACCCAACCCAGGGGCAGTTCACGTCTCCACGCAATGGCCGTGGACGTGCTGATGCTGCAACCCTTCCAGCGCCGAGCCGTGGGGAACGGCCGATAAACGTGCCACAATCTGCTCGATCGAGCCGATCACGCACTCTCGCTCGCTCGCTCTCGCTCTCAAATGCCCGTTCTCCCAGGTCTTGGGGGTCAATTTGAGTAAGACTCTAATCGTTTTGACCTCTGTTCATTTCGTCTGACAAACGGTCTCCTTTCTCACTCTTTGGTGGCTGAGATTGGCCGATTGAGTATCTCGCCGCTATTGGCGAAGATCATGCAGAGGAGGTGGATTAAAACCTTATGAAAGGCTTGTCAGACAGGCGTAGTTTGTGCAGAAGAATGGGATGAAATTGCAGCGCAGGGCAGACCAGTTTGCGTTTCCCTGCCATCATCGCGCCACGACGACCCGACCAAGATGGAGCTCAAGGGCAGTGCCGAATGGGCAGATGTGCAGCCCATTCCTCAGGACGATGGGCCCAACCCGGCGTGCCCCATTGCGTATGATGAAGAATGTGAGCTTGTGAGGAACGAGGACCGATGGATTGGCAAAGTCGAGGCAGGCGTACAGGGTGAAAAGTGTCCGGTGCTGCGGGCTGGCTGGCTCACGCCCTGTTTGCGTTTGTAGTTCGCGAGGCCATGGACTACTTCCGAGCAGTGGTAGCCAAAGAAGAAATCTCGGAGCGAGCTCTTCTCTTGACGAGCCACGTCATTGCACAGAACCCGGCCAACTACAGTGTCTGGTAAGCCTCACGTGTCCCAGTGCGGGTCTCAGTGGGATGTTCAAGCTGGCCGTGCTTTCACGCACAGACACTTATCATTGGGGCCGTGGTGCTGGTCAGGCATTACCGCCGCAAGCTATTGCGAGCTCTGCAGGCAGACCTGCACAAAGAGCTTTTGTACATTGGTGAGATCATCGAGGCCAACCTCAAGAACTATCAAGTGTGGTTCGTACGCGCACCGACTCCGTCGACGCATTGGGGAGGGGTGCCCAGCGCTGACCATGCAAGCCTCGCACAATTCGAATGAAAACTAGGTATCACCGTCAGTGTGTCGTGGACATGCTGAATGATGGCTCCGCCGAAGCCGCCTTCACGCGCCAGATGCTTGCCCACGACGCAAAAAATTACCATGCTTGGACCCACAGGCACGTCTGCCCGCTCAACTCTTTTGAGCACCCCGGCCAGCTTCCTGGTGTCGAGTGACGCTGTGCAACTCGTCGGCTCACAGAACTGCTGTCGCCTCGCCGCGTCTTCAGGCAATGGGCTATGGTCCGCTTCCAGCTGTTCGCCACCTTGCCTGGCAATGGGTTGCAATACGTGGATGAGTTACTGGAGACGGTGAGCTCAACCGATTTCCAATTATTGGTGCTGAGACTAGCACGCACATCTGGACACACGAGGGAAGCGTTCCCAAAAGTACGGCTGATTTCACGGTGTGACTCTAGGACGTCTGGAACAACAGTGCCTGGAGCCATCGCCACTTTGTGTGTCGCTCCACCAACCGATACAGTGACACCGCCGGTTGGGCAGCTGAGCGTGATTACTGCCTGGCACGCATCAAACAGAGCCCTAACAATGAGAGCAGTTGGAACTACCTGCATGGGTGCGTATCGACGGCCCGCATCTCGTGCATATGGCCGGCTCTGCCCCGTTACATGGCTCGCCTGGCCACCCTGAAGGGCGCAAGACTTCGTTGGTACTGTGATGTGCATTGCGTCGGGTCAGTGACCCTCACATTGGGCTTGTCCTGCTACATCCGTGAGCTAGCTTGGTGGCAGCTGTCTCCCAGTCATATGCCGATGACGCCGCCATTGCCGAGGCTATCGAGGCTCTGTCAGCTGAAGATCCCCCCTTGCGCTTTGCGCTCCGAGCGCGAGTAGACCTGATGTGCAGCCGAGCGCTTGCCTGTGCCGATGGTGTCGCTGCGCAGGACGCTCTGCAGGTACGCTGCGAACGGCGTCTGCGTCGTGCCCACCCTCATTTCGTTCGAGCACAAAGGCTCATTGGTGCTTGATCGTGGGAATTCGCTCGCGTTACAGACTTGCTTGCGATTGAAGGATGAGGTGGATGGTATTCGAGCCAAGTATTGGGCCTGGCGTCATGAACAACTAGCTAAGCAACTTGCCACCGTGCTCGCCTCCTCTTGAGCCTCAGCCGCATCACTGAGCGGCTGGGAACTGAGTAGGGTGCGCGTACGGAGTACGGAGAAAGGTTATCTGGACGCGATGCATGTACACACGAAACAAAACTGAATTGACTATCGGATGTAGTATCGAAAACTCGATGTATCACATCAAGACCAAATTGGGACCAGCGTCACGACCCGTGCGAGTCAAAGTGGGCCGATTTCGGTCGTGCTGGGCACCAGTGAGACTTGCGTGGCCACGCCTCACTGGGTGTCACTACTGGATGGCAGCTCTTCGGGGATGATGGTAATTTGCGTGCTTTCTTGGCCGCGCCGACGAACTGTGAATACAACTGAGCCACGCTCCAGACCATCGACTAGGGCTGCCACAACATCGTCCGTTGAATGCACACGTTGCCCGTCGGCTTCAACAATAATGTCCAGAAGCCGCAATCCTGCTTTTCCTGCTGGGCCATCCTGCTGCACCTGCGTTTTTGCAACACAAAACCCCAACCCCGGTGTAAGGTCGTGGAAAGCGAGAGGAGCTGGGAGAAACGTAGCTTGTGCGAGCGGCAACGATGGCTTTTGCTGATTCTACCTTGGCGACCAGCACGCCGGTTTGAACGTCCGAAGGCACTTCAATTTGATGTCTTTGGCGCAGATAATCGACCGTGGTGTAGTCAAGCGTGAGCAATTGTACCCCGGCATAAGGCCTGATCAATCAAGTGATGGGCAGGATAAGTTGGAAGCCAGGATCATAAGTAGGGCAGCGTTGAGAAAGCAATTAAAAATGAAAATAAAAAACAAGTCAAACATCAGAAATGGCTAATGATTTTGGCGGAGAATCGCCTGCCGCATGAGATTTGAGAGCCAGCCGTACATACCGACGAACGCGGCCTTGGGAAACGAGTTGTTCGATGATGCGCTTCGCAGCGTCGATAGGCAGAGCAAAGGAGATGCCATCAACACCCATGCCTGCTGCCTTCATGGATGTGATGCCCACTACCTGAAAAATCAGTCCTGTTTGAGGTCACAAAAAGAAAGAAGGCTCGATGCCGAAGAGCGTGGGGGAGAGGGTTTAAGCAAGGGCAAGCAAGTTTAATTGATCTTCTTACCTCGCCGTCAAGGTTAACCAAGGGGCCGCCCGAGTTGCCTTGGTTAATGGCAGCATCCGTTTGTATGTACTGCATGCCTGTTCGATGCACGCACGTGAGAAGAGAACGTGGTTCATCTTTGGTGGTATATGATCGCATCAGGCGAAATGAGTGCTTTGAATGAAACGGTGGGGGGGGTAAAAGGCACCTCGCTGGAAGCCGCGCACGCCAATATCACTGATTCGGCGGCGAACGTTGCTGACAACACCCGCAGAGATGCTGTTGCTCAGAGTCAGTGGGGATCCAATGGCCACCACCCATTCGCCGGCTCGGAGAGCCGCACTGCTGCCTAATGGGGCGGTAGGTAAGGCTCGCTCACAGGCAACGCTGAGGATGGCCAAGTCACTGGCCTGGTCCACATGCTGAATTGTGGCAGCAAATGAGCTGTGACACGCAAGCACAAGCAATAGAGTCGGGGTCAAAAAAACTCATGATCGCTCAAGGATGGCATAGTACAAAAGTTACTATTCATGCCCTCTGCCTGGGCCAAGGCGCAGCAAAGCCAAAAGCACCTTTCATCAGCCAAAGTGACCGTGATGGTCGCGTCCTGCACGAGAGCGGATTGAATGACATGCCAGTTGGTGATGATGGTGGCTTGGGTGGGTGTGGACTCGATGACAAAGCCGCTAAATGACGGAAAAATCAAAAGTACGTGAGCGAGTTTGGGCTCGAGTCCAGCAAGAGCACGGAGCCTCTCAAAGCAGTCACCTGCCTGCCCGAGTCGATGGGTGTTTGAATGGATCGAGAGGTCGCATGATGACCTGGTACGACACGATTGGTGTAAAGGGTCACGTTGACCACGGCTGGCGCCGCCTATAACGATGCAGCTGTGAGAAAGATCAGGCAGAACCTACTTGTATAATGAACCTCGACATGCGAAGCGCAAGAATTAACTGCAAACCTTGGCGACGGCATTGGCAATGCTGTAGCGATGAAGCAGCGGCCCTGGATCCAGGACCTCAGCTGCACACTGTACCAAGGGGCGACTGAAACATGGCGGGAGCCATCGTGAACGTGTTTCTGGACCGTCGGTCCAAACCCACCCACCATAACTCGCAACCACGGCCGTAGCCGTAGCTACAGTCGCCACACCCCGCCGCAACATGACGCTCCCACCCCCCTCCCTCTTCCTCTCTCAAGTACCACCCCGAAACAAGCCACCCGCCACCACCCCAAATGGATTGCAGCCCGAAGCTCCAGCGAGAAAAACAGGGATCTTTGCAAGGATCGTTTCCCCGACGAAATACCAGATCCGTCACTTCGTTCGCCTATTTTGTCTTACAATTCCATGCTGCGTCATGAATTGTCATGATCGGCTCAGGCTGTTGCTGCGGCTAAAGAATAACTTGTAGTAGTGTATAATATAGAAATCGTCGTTTTTATGGACAAAGTAGTACACTGGTTAACCTCTATAATGATACTTATTGCTGTTGTTTAATAAGATGTTGTTGCAGACATTTATATTATCGTAGCGACCCTTTGAGAAGCTGCAGAAGGAGAGAACAGCCCCCGCCCCCAGGTGAGCTGGCTTATCAGGCTGCATCGAGCGCTGCGGTCGTCCTCCGTCGCCCGCTGAGCTCGTCCTACGTGTCGTGCTCGCCACACACGCACCACACGCACGCACGCACGCACATGCATGTAGCACACGCTTGTGGGTGGGGTGGCGTTTTTTTTTTTTTTTTTTGTTTTTTTTTTTGTTTTTTTGTTTTTTTTTGTTTGTTTTTTGCTTTCGGCTCACTCGTGAGCTCCCATGTGCACGCTAGGTGGGCTGCTGCGTCGACGCCTTAAGTCATGTCCACGGCAAACGTGACCACGACCATGGTCGCCGCTACGACCACGATCGGGCACGAGCCAAGCGAGCCCACCGCCCACCACCAGCGTCACTCGCAAGCCGTTTTGTTCGTTGGCTTTGCCCTGCTCCTCGGAGCCATGTGCCGCTATACGATGAATCGGCTCAAACTCCCAGTGCCATACACGGTGGGTCACCTCCGTCATTGTGTCACGCGCAGTCCAAGATGCTTGCCTGTGTCCCTCAAGCCAGGATGACTCGTTTATGAATGATGATGGTTGTTGTGGTCGTCGTTTATCCAGCGCAAGTCTCTTTTGCTCACCCTGCGGCGCACAGGTCCTGCTATTTGTGGCCGGCGCCATCTGGGGTGCGATGGACCGCGTGAGTGCCAGCGAGTTGTCTGAGGCAGCTGCTGAGGTAGCCCGGGTTGATCCCTCCCTCTTTCTTCAGGTCCGTTGCCGAGGTGCAGCATGATCCACCCCTCACCCACTCCTACACACACGCACGAAAACCTGCAAGGTTTCTGGCCGCTGTTTTCACTCACCGAGCATGTTATCCTGCTTCAAACCTTGCCGCCGTTTGGAACTGCCTACTTGGCCTGTAGATTTTCTTGCCCCCCCTGATCTTTGAAAGCGCCTTCGCTATGCGTTGGCATGTTTTGCGCAACTTACTCGTGCAAATGTTGATCCTGGCCGGTCTTGGTGTGATCATCAGCAGCGTCCTCACCGCTACAGCCGTGCATGGCATCCTACCTTCCTTCTCATGGGCCAACGCCTTTCTCCTGGGCTCCATCGTCAGCGCGACTGACCCAGTTGCCGTTGTGGCCCTGCTCAAGTCCCTCGGCGCTTCCCATAAACTCAGCACGCTCATCGAGGGCGAGTCGCTTCTCAACGACGGAACCGCTTTGGTGCTCTTCACCGTGTTCTATGATATGAGCCGTGGCGAAGAGGTCGATGCCGGCGTGTTTGTACGCATGCTCTTCCAGCTTGCTGCTGGTGGTGTTGCTCTCGGCATTGCCTGGTCCATGGTCACCATCTTCTTGGTCCGTCAAATCTTCAACGACAAGCTGGCCGAAACCACCCTGATTGCCAGCTCGAGTTTTCTCGTCTTCTATGTCGCGGAGCATTTATGTCACGTATCCGGAGTTCTGGCAGTGGTGACAATGGCCATTGCTTTTGTCTGGATTGGCCGGGCTCAGGTCACTCCCGAGGTCAGTTGTGTCACATCGGTTGTTCGCTGCTCAAGGCCAACGCCTTATTTTTTTTTTTTTTTTTTTTTTTTTTTTTTTTTGAAATCCCCCTTCCACGCTCCATGGCATCCGTCTCATGTGGGCGGGTGTGCACGCGTGGTCTGATCTCTGTTGGTTAATCAACTGTGAACGCCGTCATCAATTCTGTCTAGGTGCTGTCAAGCCTCGAATCCTTTTGGCACATCCTGGCCTACATTGCCGAAACACTCGTCTTCGTTTTGGCTGGTGTCATGATCTCGCAACGCATTGGCCTCGACCATTTTAGTGGACGCGACTACGGCATGCTTCTAGTATTTTATCTGCTAATCACTCTGGTGCGCTCCGTCATGGTGGCCCTGCTGACCCCGCTTCTCGTCAAAACGGGATTCGGATTCGGCTTTCGCCGCGGCCTAGGTGCGTGGGCGCCTCATCTGTCTTTGAAAAATCTCCCCTGAGCACTCATCTCATTTGCCTTGACTACTTGCAGTCTTGATTCACGGTGGCCTACGCGGCGCTGTTAGTCTCGGCCTGGCACTGATTGTTGAGTTGGATCACGACGTGCCCGTGGATATTGGCAAGACGGTTCTCTTCTACACTGCGGGCATCGCAATGCTGACGCTACTGATCAACGCCACCACTGCCGGTTGGCTCATGCGCAAACTCGGCCTCATGACTGTTGACGTCTCTGAAGTTGAGAGCATGCGTCGATGCTGTCATGAAATCTCCCAAACGGGAGCCCAGGCCCTGCACACCCTTGCCCGCCACGACAATGACACCCTGGCTGTCTGCGATTGGTCTCGTCTCGAGGAGCTACTGCAGCTTCACAGCGCTGAAACCCTTGCTTCACGACTCGCCCGCGCCGACCAACGCTCCTTGGCCAGTTGCGACTGGCTGCGCCTCGAAGATTCCATGCCCAATACCAGCCCCGAGGATTTGCCTACCCAACTCTCCCGAGAAGTTCCCACACCCCGGAACCAAGCTTACCTCGTATGCCTTGCGCTTCTTGAACTGCTTTGAAGCCGCTTCGGACTTGTTTTCATTCTTTGGGTTTGATAATACGTCGAGCCTAGCTCAAGCGGCCCGGTTATCGCTGCTCACATTAAAACTGCGCCTCCGCTGGTGTGGCCTTCTTGCATTGCTTAGGCGTCCAGTGATCTGGAGGATAACAGCCTAGCCCCTGCTATGCATGCAGCGGAGCCCGCTCCACATGCCAAGGGCAGCTGGCTGTCGTACTTTCGCATTCGACCTGAGCTTCCCGATGACCCCCACCTCCAACAGTTGCGCCTGCGCTTTTTACAGGGCGTGTCCCAGGCCTACGAGCATCAGCTGCGCGATGGTACTCTAAGCCCAGAAGCGTACACCACACTGGAAGCTGCTTGCGAGCTGGCCAAGGATCGCTCACACAAATCACTGCGGCTTTGGGCCGACTCGCTGCAGTCTGCTTGCAGCCCAACTCAGCGACTTAACGCCATTATCCAATGGCTGCCCGATGGCTGCCTCCGCTTCCCCTTTGAGTGGCTCCAAAAGGTTCTCATGCGCCGTGCCATTCGAGTGGCTCGCGCTTTTGTCGAAGCTAATCTAGATATCATGGCCCAGTTCCGGTGTGAGCCAGCCTATTATGCTCGCCTCGAATCCGAAGTCCACGCTAATCTCACACCAGCACGTGAATTCCTGGCCAGTGCACAACTCCTTTACCCTTGGCATGTCAGCCACGTTGTCTCCGTGGCTAGTGCCATGGTCTTGATCAAGACCATGCAGCACGATCTCGACTCCCTTGGAGCCGCTGGCAACCTGCAGCCCTCTGAATACGAGGCGGTCCGTGACGAGCTCATGGCCATCAAGGGCCGTGTTTTACGCTCTGGCAACCGCTTCCAGCCGCCCAGCCTGGAACAGGTTCTTTTGCACAGCCCGCTTGCTCTTAGTCTTGACACAGACGGGCAACGCACCCTGCTGGCAGCGGTTGAGCGACACTACCTCTCTGAGGGTCAACTGTGCGACGCACAAGGCGACATAGTCTTCATTCTTTCTGGTCGTGCTACCTGCAGCCATCCCGGCAAGGGTAACACCGACTTGCTGGCTGGCAGTTTGTGGGGCGCTTCCAACCTTGTCCAGCTTGCTGAAGGATTATCCGCTCCACAGGTCCCGCCCCTGCGAGCCCAAACGGCCTGTCATGTCGCCACCATCCCACGCCAGGTCCTGATGCAGCTGGCGGCTGAGCGTGAGGCATGTGTGGGTCCCGATGGCTCGCTCGCTGCCAACTGGTCACTCGCCACCTTGACGGCTTGGCACCGCGACTTGGCCGTACTGGCCATCGCGGAACTCTACCACCTTGATGTATCACACGCCGGACCCTCCTCGCAAGCAGCGTTGACTGAGTCCTTCACCGATGGCTGCTTTGCGGAGCTCGAACAAGCTCAGCGCACCGTCAGAAAGCTTGCCATCCATTGTACCCCACGAGGAAGTGGCACCGCAATGCATCCTTACGCTTTACCGGCCCGCCAATCGGATGCGCCAGCGGAAGGAGAAGTTGGGCGCCTCTGGTTTGGCTTGGCTCTACCCACTAACGAAACTGAGGCTTAGGGCGCGTTGCCGATCGGTGTCGCAGCAACGCACCGTGGGTTTATCGCGAAGCGCTCTGACAGCGTGAAATATAAAGGGAGTAGATCATCAATTTGCAACAAAAACCATTGCTCATGCTATACAAGATGTCATGGATAGCATTTGAGCTTGTTTGTGGTGAATAAGACAAAATTGAACCACGAAAGAAAAGACTATGAAAGAAATGTGTGGCCCACAGCACGATCGAGAAACATGGTGTGCAAGGATCGAAACAGTCGGACAACGGAGAAGGAGAGCCGCTCAGCGGCAAGCATGACAAGGTTCACATGCACAACGACCAAGGTGGCATGCGCAAGATAAATCTGCTGAGCCAGATGCTAAACATTGGTGCTTCCATGAGTGGCGTATTTCTTTTGTGACCGCGCTGTGCTATGAAGGTTTGAAGCACTTCGTGAGGCATCTGGTGTGGGTTCGCGAGCCAGGACAGAAAGGCCGTGCTTTGGCTGGACGCCTAATGCGAGGTGTGCAGCGGTCGAGCCAGCATCACCTCCTCTTGGCGAAGGTGAACGGGGGGTGCTTGGCAGCAGCACCGTGGGCGGCGATATTGTTTGGGTCAGAGGGCGCTGCGCAGCAGCTGTTGCTTGGGACACGGCTTGGCCCTGGTCATGCCGAGAGCGGATATGCCGAAGAGCCTCTTCAAAGGCATGAGGATCGCCGACTGCAGACCAATCAGCAGCCGTCATTTCCTTTCCTTGAAGAGCATCATTCAGCTTGTCCGATGCCACTTTGTTGAAAAGGTTGCCTGTGCGCTCATAAATGGCTGACTCGAATGCCGAGCCAATCACACCCGTGTTATTGCTCACTCTGTGTTGAGATACCTTACCAGAACCAGGCACGGAGTGGGGCGATGTCATGGGCTCGTGCTCCGCAATGTCAGGGGTATTTAAAGCGGTCGGCATGGCGCCATGACTGCCATTCATCACGGCTGGATTGTGGCTGGGTGATTCTGAACCGCGTTGCAGAGCCAGGCGAGAATGCCAAGCGCTTGCAACGACAGGTTGACGGCTGCGTCCAGGCGACCCGCTTCGTCGGGGTCGGTGCGGCATTTGGTGTGCGCGGGCACCACCCACCGGCATGCGATGGCGGGCACCGTCAGCTGCATCTGAGCGCATGTTGGTCAAATTTCCACTACGGCGTCCCGTGATGAGACGGCCATTAGCAGAAACCAAGCTTCCAGGCTCACGCGCGGCGATTGTCGAGCTGTTTGAAGCGTCTGGGAGAGCAGTGAGTCCGTGGGTACTGCCGAGAGTGTGTGCTTTGCTATGAGGCCACTGGCCATGCTTGAGCGGCATTGTTGGCGAGGTTCCACGCTTGGAAACGCCCCCATGAGATGGCAGCGTGGGTGAGGCTGTAGTGAGGGATTTGGTTGGCGCAGGAGACGAAATGTTGCCGCGACTCTGGCTATTGGCACTGGAAAGGGGCGCCCAAATATCGGGGCTTTCGGCGCGACCAAAGTCCAAACTAGCGCTGCGCATGTGCAGCCCGTCGTGGCGTCGCATCGAGCCGTTGCTCGATGAAGAATCTAAACGTGCACGTTGGGAGGGTAGAGACGATGCACTCATGAGTTGAAGACTTGCAAGTTAGGCCTATCCCTCCACTCATTTCCTTGAAAAGGCTGGTATTGATATTGTGGAAATGGCCGTGTTGCTCCTGCAGACAAGAAGAGAGAGGAAGCGCAAAACCGGAGCGGGAAAGGGAACCAGCCGTGAAACCAACCGTCATGGGGCGTTTGTCGGTCCATCGTGGGAGTGGAGCTGGCTGAAGCGCGATCCAGCGACGAATCGGGCGCGGCGCTGACAAAATTGACAGCGGCAGTTTCGCCCAGGGCGAGAAGCGCCTGTTGAAATACCAAGTGCATCTGCTGCGCCGTCGGTCGGCGCAAAGGATCTGAATGCCAAGCTGGGTGAACCGCAAGCCAAGTTGGAGCGACAGTCGAATGCACATGATATGAGAGAATGAAAGCAAGCCACGCGTCACACCACAGCACCACACAACGTGTCTTCCAAATTTTAACCATCTATCAAGCTCAGAAAGAGATCTGGATTTTGATCAGGCAGAAGGTTATGGCCCAACCTTGCATGATAAGCCGTACAATGACGGCGGGTGCTTCCTCGTCCAGCCATGGTCGCCGATTTTCATATGCCATGGCGGTTGCCGCCAGCGCTACATTGACCACAGGCGATGCAAGGGCGGCGCGCATCAGAAGAAGTCCCAAAGGCTTTATATGAGGCCCGGATCGCCCAGAACCAGCCCAACATACCAGGTTCTTGGATGTCGGCCAAGGGAAGCTGGCATGTCAAAACCTCTGAGCAAACGAGTGCCAGACTGAATACGTCCGCGGGAGGGAGATATGGTCCAAGACATAGAAAAACTTCTGGCGCCATCCACCGCAAGTGCTACGGGCCCCATGTCCAACATGGCGTTGTCAAAGACCGACATTTCAAACAGCTTTGGAAAACGTGACATGAAACAGCGTGCGGGGGCGCCTGAGCTTGGTTGACAAACGTACCCCAGGCTGCTTTGTGAAAATTCCGCGTTGGCGGGCACGACCATCTTCTTCCGTGCGACAGAAGGCAGATTCGCCAAAGTCGGACAGACAGGCATGGCCATTGGCACGCAGCAAAATGTTGGAGCTGCTCACGTCACGGTGAACAATCGGATACTTGAGGTTGTGGATATACATCAGCGCAGACGCGACGTCGTGGGAAATAATGAGGGCGTCTTTCAAAGACGGTCGCTCAATCTATAGCCCATCCGCAGGCAGCGTTCAGAAAGGTAGAAATCAGTTGGTCTGTTGGGCGGTCGTATGGGGGAAGAAAAGAAGGCCAGGGGGAAAGCGACACATGTTAGGATGTTGGGAAAAAAAACGGACCTGTTCGTTCTTGTAGAGAAACTCATTTAGGCTGCCGGCCTCGACGTATTCCAGAATGATCAGATAGAGCGCGGGGTTGGGCACGCAGATGCCCTACAAAAAGGCAAGCAGCGGGTCGATCGGCAATGGAAATTACTGAAGTTGAGATGGGAGGTTGACGACCACCCAGACACGGACAAAACAGAGAAGTCAGAGGCACGCCTGGGCTGACGAGGTAGTGACGTACGCGCAAGGCCACGATGCACGGATGCTGAAGGCGTGCCATAATGGTCACCTCCTTGGTGAAGCGAAAAGCGGGCGTTTTGGCTCGCAAAAGCTCGCGCCGAATTTGCTTCACAGCCACTGTCTCATCAAACCATTTTCCCGCAAAAACCTGTCAAATGTCACCAAGATGTGAGAAAACGTAATGGAGGTGCAGCCAAATACAAACAAACACCAGTGCAATCGAAACAAAAAAAG